GCCTTCTTTAAAATTCAATGCATATGTAAAGAAATATACGGTAACCCGAATTTACCACACTCGCAAAATCGCACACAGCCAACCATACACCCAGTATGGTATCGCGATTCGTGATTTTGCGCTATCATACTGGGTGTATGGTCGGCTGTGTGCGATTTTGCGAGTGTGGTAAAATCGCATAACAGCAAAATCGCATAACAGCCGAGCATACACCCAGCAGCGCTGCTGATGCCTGAACGGTATGTGGAATGAAGTGGGCGGGCATCGGGAGGCCACTATGGCACGGGGCAAGCACTATGGGCAGTCTATCTGAAGTGTACCTGGCGTATAAGACGACCCCCCACTTGGAGGCATATTTTTCAGGGCCAAAAAATCGTCTTATACGCCGGCAAATACGGTAGCTTTCCAACCTTATTTCCTGTTTCTGCTCCACAGTACCTTCACCAAGCAGAGTGTTAACTCCAGTGGGCCTGTGCTCATCCTGTTATTTGAGCCTGTGTGCCCGTTTTTCACATCTCTGCATGTCTGAGCCATACCCATGTTTTAAGGTCCATCTCAGATGCAACCTGTTCCAAGAAACTTTCCTAATTCTCCCAGAATAAAAGAAGGTTCTTCCTCTTTGTACAGAATTTTATTTATTAAGACACTTCAGCACTATCTGTCTTATATTATTTTCTCTTAGTGATCTGAATAAACTTTTCTAATTCATCTTTCAGTCTTCCACAGTGCCTAGCATAATATGAGGTATAAAACTGATGCTCACTAAATATTATTGAATGAGTAAATGAATGAATGAATTAATGCCAAATATGTCTTCTCCTGTTTTCTATTTTTATTGCCTTAATAATTTGGAAAACAAATACCCTTTACAAGCCAGCTCTGAGCAGTGATATGAGGCTAAGAATGAGGAGAACATGTGACGCTCCCAGTTTAGTCAGAATGAGAATTTCCTCCAGATGTTTTATCCTCAGAGTCCCTTATCTTTCCCAAGTCCTGGTCTCTTTATGATAAGCAGTCCTGAGAGAATAAAATGTTATTTTAGTATGTGATAAATGAAGATTTGGTGTAGAAATCATTTGCTTTAAGAAAAATGATTCAAAGTTGGATTTATTCTGTTAATAAGCTGCTCCTAAGTTTAAAATATCATTTTATTTTTACTGGTATATCTATTATATTCTCTGCTTAAGGACATATTTACTACAAATTAAGATACAGATGTGTTACTCTCTAAGTCTCTAAATAATCTGAATTGCTCTGATTAAGATCATATACAAAGAATAATGTGTGTGGGGGTGGTGGTGGTGGTAGGGGTGGGCTAGAAGGGGTCAATGGGGGAAAAAGGGAGACATATGCAATACTTTCAACAATAAAGATTTAATTAAAACAACAAAAAAAGAATAGGGTGTTTTCTCCAAGGCTGGAAAAATGGATTTTCCTGCTAAAGCTGCTTCCTGGCCTCATTTCCCCCCAAATAACCAGTGAGTAGTTACTGAGGGTCAGCTATATGCTTCATATTGTACAGGTATTGGACGATATTAGAAGTTTATTGTATGTATCCAGAGGGGGCCATTTCTTGTTGTAGAGAAAAAATTTTTTAATATAGGAAGCAATTAAAGGATAAGGTAATAATGATCTCACTAAGAGATCATTAGTTTTATGTAGACTATTGATGTGATAAGATGTCAAGGATAAATTATCAGAGATAGGTAAAGGATCTAGACTAGTCAGGAGAGTTTTCTAGAAGCAAGTGAGATTTTAGGTTAGGCTTTAAAGATTTCTGTAGTAGAGAACAGTATTATAGGTGAAAGGAAGTAGGAATGTTTGGTGATAAATGGGGTATAGGGACTAGTAAGGAGTCCAGCTTCATTAAAAGAGAGATTCTAATACATTCATTCAACAAATGTCCATTACACATTCCTTGAACTCCTTTAGGCCAGACATTGTGCCTTGGGATACAGCAGTGAATAAGCCACTGAGTGTTCCACATGGCACTTAACAGTAGAATGAGGAAGCAGGCATTAAACAAATCGCACAATTAGATGAGTTGAAGTGTCACATAACTAAAGTACAAAGTGTTACAACTTGTAAGAGGGAGACTTCTCCAGTCCTTTTGCTGTCACATTATGGCTAATTTACTTTAATAACTTCTTGTCTGATCTTATCCTGAGTAACAATCTACTTATTCAACAAACCCCTATAAATACCTACTGGATACTGTACTCTGTTCTGATTCCTATAGAGACTAAGCTCTAGAATCTTGGCTTACAGAGGAAAAATGTAGACAACATAATGTTAAAAGGCCTTTAATAGAAGTGTGAGCAAAGTATTACGAGAACACCGATATTTTTCAAAAGCAGTGGAAGATAAGGTTAGATAAGTAGACACCAAATAATAGCTCCTTTTTTTTAAAAAATATATTTTATTGATTTTTTACATAGAGGAAGGGAGAGAGATAGAGAGAAACATCGATGAGAGAGAAACATCGATCAGCTGCCTCCTGCACACTCCCTACTGGGGATGTGCCCGCAACCCAGGTACATGCCCTTGACCGGAATCGAACCTGGGACCCCTCAGTCCGCAGGCCGACGCTCTATCCACCGAGCCAAACCGGTTTCGGCCAAATAATAGCTCTTTGACAGACAAGCAGACGAGTTCAGATGAAGGGAAAGGAATATATTCAAGAAGTATTCTAGAAACTGAACAGGACTGGATAACTATGGGTAAAGAAATGTAATGGTCAGAGGTGACCCAGTGTCTCTAACCTGGCAACCTAGAAGAATTATGGCATCTACGATAAAAATAGGATGTTTAGGAAAGACCTCTTGTGAATGGTGAACCAACTTTGGACTTGTTGGTTTTGGGACAGTGAGAGGTCTTCAGACATCCAGATGGAAGGTTGTACTTCTGAAAGAAGAAAAATAGCTAGCATAATCTTCAGTATAAACTGATTATGGTAGACATGAAAATATATGAATTCAGAGAAGAGAAAGAGAAGAACAAAGAGCTAAAATCAGGATCCAAGGCTTGGGCACACCCAGTGTTAGGGGGGAATATAAGTTACTACTAGAAGGCTGGTAGGGATTTTTCACTGTCCTGGGGCTTTGGCTCTTTTGGAGCCTGTGATTTTTTTTTTTTTTTTTTTTTTAGCATTAAAAGGATAAA